CGGGCCAAACTTTCAGTGCAGTGGACTTTTATCTTGTCTACAGGGAATGTAATTATGGGCACCACATACATATGGACAACGTAGTGGTGTCCAGACCCAGCAGTGAGGACACACAGTACTATGTGTTGAAGCATAATCCAGAATTCAGGTAGTGGCGGGAATACCCTCATCCTAACTACTACCAGTAGCTTTTGCTCCTGACTGTTGCTGTTGGCTCACTGTTCCAAAGTCTCTTACTATTGTTTTGCATCTGTTATAGCTATGCCTACTGTGTATGATCGTGATTGCTACTGCATATTTTTTTTTTACATATGTCTGATTACATCAGTTTATAGTAATATTGTTTATACAAAAGTTAAATAGTTTGTAACTGTTTAAGCTGGGGCCGGGCACCTGGACTGTGCCTAGTGTTTTTTTTTTTCTTAGCTATATATACATTTAAAATGCATTCTACTGCTGTTTTGCTGTTAAGGGTTGTAAGCCATCTTCACAACTGATGGTACCCACTGTCACAGGGACAGGCCATGTTTAAGAGGGGAAAGTATTGGCTAACCCCACTGAATAGTGCTCTGCACTGATTTGAATCCACTGTAAAGATGATGTTGTATCACTTTTTGTGTTCCGCACTAAGGACTCTGTCAGTGTCATAGTCAGGGGTCTGGCTTAGAGGCCATTGGCTATCATAGTGGAAACCAGCAGGAAAAATACACAAGCATATTCCCCTGGTGGGAGATGCAGACTCACCTAAGGTGCAGGGTCTAAACACTAAGAGGTCTTCACCAGAGCTCCTAATGCTGAGATGGGTTTGCTACATGCTAGTCCTAGGTCCTGGTCTTCAGGATCACTCCACCAAAATGTGAGCAGGCCAGGGTGTGCTAGCAGATGTAGTAGGTAGGGATTAAATAGAAGTATAGTTGATAAACCAGCCAAAAGTCAGTAGCATGTCAGTAACAAATGGTTGCAGGTTGGGATCAAGTGGAAGCATAGTCAAGGAACAAGTCAAGGATTGGTAACAAATGACTACAGGTTGGGATCCAGCAGAAGTGTAGTTCGAGGAATAAGTCAAAGGTTGGTAATGGAGATGTGGATAACAGCAGAAGCATAAGAAGCAAGATATTGGCTGGAGAAGGGCACAATAATCTGGCAAACAGGAAGTGCAAAGTTCATGGTAGGAGCATGGAATCAAGGTTCACCAGAAACAAGATATAAAGTAAGTTTGTTCAATGATCAAGCAGGGAGCTGTCCAGCATCTCATGTGGCTCAGCAAGAAGAGCTACTGCCAGTTGCAGCAGAGGTCCTGGATTTATGTGATGCTGTGATTGAGATGTTTGAGAAGAATTGCACCAAAGTGTTGAAAAACTCTGCTGCAGCGGACATTCCTTTATTCACATGATACCCTCAAGCCTCAAGGGATGTAAGGTGTGAGCTTCAAGCCAGGAGATGGCAGAGAGGATTTTTTAGAAAAAGTATGTGAGTGTCCTATCCAAGAAGAAGGGGGTGGCACCTGGGGACCATGGGCACCAATAACCAACCTATCCAGGTATCTTACAGTATGCTTTTAGATTCCTTGCTTACATCTTCATATTGTTTCAGTGTTATCATGTTCTCATGCATAAGTCAGCTTTTGAGTTTACTATAGACAGATGTCCAGACATTTTGCTGTAGAATGTATTCATTGATTCCTCAGTGATTGAAAGCCAGCAAGTCCCTGGTTATAGAAAAAAGCTCAAGACCATTGTACTACCTCCTTAAAGTGTTACTAAACCCAGGACCCTCTATTCACTATATCTGCTCTCCCACAGTACACACAACATGGAAATGCAATTATTTTTAGTAAATATAAACTGCTAAATACCTTTTCTCATCAGCAGTTAGAGCAGTCTTGTGACTTCAGCTGAGCACTGGTTAAAGCTTGTAGGAGGAGTTTTCTTTATGCTCTAGGAGGATGTGAAACCCCTGACCCTCTGTCTGGACAGTGCTGATTGGCCCTGTGCTGACCACATGCACCCTCCCAAGAAAAAAAAAACTCTCTAGCAATACACACCAAACTGAGCATGTGCATGTAACTATGGATTCAGTCTGTATCAGGTGGACCCTTCAACAAGAGGAGGGGCAGAGAAGAAAGAATCAAACAGCCTTTTTACACAATGCAGAGGGTTAACCCCAGATTTTACTGTTTTGGGTTTAGTAACACTTTCATGTTCATGTTAGTATGCAGTTCTTTATTTAATCAAAATACAACTCTGTATACATTTACCATTTACCATGTCATGTTCACCTATTTGTCCAAAGATTATTGTTCCACTATTATTGAGGAACATCAAGGTGATCTTAAAGTAGATGTAGAGGAGTTATTGCAGAGCTGTGTAGAGTCAGTGTTAAGCCCACCCTCAACACTGGCTGTACACAGGATGGGACTGTAAGGATTGTGGGTATTCCTAACTAAGCGAGCTTGGTGAGCTGAAAGGAGGAGATTGGAGATCCCACAAGGTACTGGGGCAAACAGGAGAAGTGGTTCATTACTGATTTTTTCTCAGCTGGGGGGAAGAAGTGTGGAGGCTGTTTTGAGAGGATCGAATGCACATTCAGCTGCTAGCAGACCTCCCACTGCTGCACCTGAAAGACACAGTGAAAGGTATCTTGGAATATTGTAGAGAGCTACAGATGGGAGGGCTTAATAGGAGATTCACTCTACACAAATTCAGTGTGTCTTTTACATTATAATTCTACTGTTTCTAATTCTACTACAATATATTTCTAATATATATATATATATATATATATACAGTTGTGACCAAAATTATTCAACCCCCACTGAAATTGAGTGTTTTGGCCAGTTTGACATTGCTTTTGATCATTCAGTCATCTTGCTTACATTTACATTAAAGAGGCACTTGTAGGTCAGACAAATATAACATAACAGTTATAATGAAATAACCACAAATGTCTTTTCTGTGCTCACAGCATTATCAGTTTTATTCAACCCCCAAGTGACATTCAATCTTAGTACTTAGTACAGCATCCTTTTACAGTTATAACAGCTTTTAAACGTGAAGCATAGCTTGACACAAGTGTCTTGCAGCGATCTACGGGTATCTTCGCCAGATGGGCAAAGGCCTCCAGTTCAGTCACATTCTTAGGCTTGCGCACTGCAACTGCTTTCTTTAAGTCCCACCAGAGGTTCTCAATCGGATTTAAGTCTGGTGACTGCGATGGCCACTCCAAAATGTTCCAGCCTTTCCTCTGCAACCATGCTCTAGTGGACTTGGAGGTATGCTTGGGATCAATGACCTGTTGAAAGGTCCAACGTCTCCCAAGCCTCAGGTGTGTGACGGACTGCATCACGTTTCCATCCAATATCTCCTGGTACTGAAGAGAATTCATGGTACCTTGCACACGCTGAAGCTTCCCTGTACCTGCAGAAGCAAAACAGCCCCAAAGCATGATTGACCCTCCACCATGCTTCACAGTAGGCAAGGTGTTCTTTTCATCATAGGCCTTGTTCTTCCTCCTCCAAACATAGCGTTGATCCATGGGCCCAAAACAGTTCTAATTTTGTTTCATCAGTCCACAGAACACTATCCCACAACTTTTGTGGTTTGTCCACATGGCTTTTGGCATACTGCAGTCGACTCTTCTTATTCTTTGGAGACAGCAAGGGGGTACGCCTGGGAGTTCTGGCACGGAGGCCTTCATTACGCAGTGTGCGTCTTATTGTCTGGGCTGAAACTTCTGTACCCACATCTGACAAATCTTTTCTCAGTTCCTCAGCAGTCACACGGGGACTTCTCTCCACTCTACGCTTCAGGTAGCGCACAGCAGTCGAAGTCAGCATCTTCTTTCTGCCACGACCAGGTAGGTACGTTTCAACAGTGCCCTTTGCCTTGAATTTGCGAATGATGCTTCCTAAGGTGTCTCTTGGTATGTTTAACATCTTTGCAATCTTCTTATAGCCATTGCCCTTCCTGTGAAGAGAAATCACCTCTTCTCTTGTCTTCCTGGACCATTCTCTTGCCACCATTCACCATGTTTGTAACCACACCAGTAAATGTCTAGAAGGAGCTGAGTATCACAGTCATTTTAAAGCTGCCTAATTGGTGCTTATTATGCTTGATTGCTGCTCGGTGACATCCACAGGTGTTTTCAATACCTGATGGAAAGCACCTGTATGAACCTCTGTTCTTCAGAGTGGTAGTCTTTAAGGGGTTGAATAATTGTGGCAATGAAGAAACCACATAAGAACCATTTACTACTGTATTACATAAACAATTGATGTCATTTTAGTTGCATTTGGGTAGTTACAACGTCCTTGTAGGATTTGATTCTGAATACAATTCCAAATGTACACTATAGTCCCTAAACCCATTGGGGGTTGAATAATTTTGGTCACAACTGTATATATATATACTTTGCTATGTTGTTGTAAGCGCTACACAACATTTTAACACACAGAAAAGGGGCATAAGGAGAAGGTTGTGTACAGAAGTAGATGTGTGGCCATGCTCTGAATTCTTTAAACCAGTGGGACACTAAAAACAAGGGACAGGGCAACATGTCTTATTTAGATCAGTAGATAAAAAAAGATATGGCTAAGTAAAATACTGTATGTGAGTGTATATAATTTCTATGTTTATATATTATTATGTTTTTGATTGGATGCATATTTTTTGGGATTCATATAGACAGAACTTTGTAGGGGGAATGCGGGGGAAAACAGTTCCAGCACCTCCTGTACTGAATGTATGTATTTGCAAGGGGTGTTGGGGTGTGCTGGAGGGTCTATTGATACTGGCTGCTGGGGGATCTATTATTGCTAGAGGGGATCTTTTGCGGTGGAGGTCTAGTTTTGCTGGAGAGGGATTGTAACGGAAGCGTAGGCAGGACAGAGCACACGGAGAAGATGGGGAACACACAAAACTTTATTGAAACAACAAATTGGCAGACACTCAATAGGGAAATGGCAGGGAGGGTGGTGTGTGCGCAAACCAGGGACGATTCCAGGCACGGGGGGGTCTTCAGGCAATCTCCCCCCTTAGGCTTGGGGCCTCAGCCGAGCTCCCTCCGTGACTGGACAGCGGATTGGAGACTCGGGCAACAGGCGGCAACCTACCACTGGGCAGGGGCCTCGGGCAACAGGCAGCAACCTACCACTGGGCAGGGGCTCAGGCAACAGACGGCAACCTACCACTGGGCAGGGGCCTCGGGCAACAGAAGGCAATCTACCCCTCAACAGGGGCTCAGGCAACAGACAGCAACCTACCACTGGGCAGGGGCCTCGGGCAACAGGCGGCAATCTACCCCTGGGCAGGGGCTCGGGCAACAGACGGCAACCTACCACTGGGCAGGGGCCTCGGGCAACAGAAGGCAATCTACCCCTCAACAGGGGCTCGGGCAACAGACAGCAACCTACCACTGGGCAGGGGCCTCGGGCAACAGACAGCAACCTACCACTGGGCAGGGGCCTCGGGCAACAGGCGGCAATCTACCCCTGGGCAGGGGCTTGGGCAACAGACGGCAACCTACCACTGGGCAGGGGCCTCAGGGCAACAGAAGGCAATCTACCCCTCAACAGGGGCTCGGGCAACAGACAGCAACCTACCACTGGGCAGGGGCCTCGGGCAACAGGCAGCAATCTACCCCTGGGCAGGGGCTCGGGCAACAGACAGCAACCTACCACTGGGCAAGGGCCTCGGGCAACAGAAGGCAATCTACCCCTCAACAGGGGCTCGGGCAACAGACAGCAACCTACCACTGGGCAGGGGCCTCGGGGATTCAACGGGACTCTAGCTGTGGAGACTGGCCACAGCACAGCTCCCACCTAGCTTTCCAGGGTCATTGGGTTAACGGGGACTCAACGGGTAGCGATGGCTCAAGCACTCAGGGGCACCACAGGTAGCTATACTCCGGGCGTGCCATCAGGACACGGGTGGTCAGTGCACACACAGCGGGGCGGTTCGGAACACGGGTGGTCGGTGCACACAGCGGGGACAGTTCAGGACACGGGTGGTCAGTGCACACAACAGGAACAGTTCAGGACACGGGCTGTCAGTGCGCACAACGGGAACAGTTCAGGACACAGGTGGTCAGTGCACACAACGGGAACAGTTCAGGGCACGGGTGGTCAGTGCACACAGCGGGGACAGTTCAGGACACGGGTGGTCAGTGCGCCCAACAGGAACAGTTCAGGACACGGGTGGTCAGTGCGCACAACAGGAACAGTTCAGGACACTCACGGTAAGCAGCTTGCAGACCCTCAGCGGCAGGCGGCTCCAGACAGGGACGACCAGCGGTCAGCATTCCAGGGACAACCAGTGATCAGCAGACAGCAGTAGCTCCCAGGGCACTCAGCAGCAGACAGCCTCCAGGGACACACAGCCACGGATAGTATGCAGGCTCCCTCAGCAACAGCTCCCAGGGCACTCAGCAGCAGACAGGGTGCAAGGGTGCCCAGTAGACAGGCGTACAGACTGGCAGGGTCTCAGCTGTGGAGTCTGACCTTTGAGGAGAAGGCTCATGCAGAGCTGTGGAGACTCCCAACCCCGAGGTATTGCAGAGGGCTACAGTCCTGACCTTTTGGGGGTCTGCAGAGTGCGCAGGGGGGATGGCTGGGGAGACTCGGTCCCCCTCACCCGAGCCTCCCAACATATTTCTGGGAACAAGATGCTTCTCGCCGCATGGCCAGGAACAGAAAGGGGGGCTGCTTCCTGTGTGGGTCTCTTGAAGATCCTGTGGGACGCGGCTAGGTTGCCTCGGCAACGGCTGGCCCAGCCCTGTCCATGGAAGCACCACAGACCTTCTAATGTATAAGGGGGAAGGGAGGGGTGGAGGAATATGGCGGGGGATGGGAGAGGCACTGGCAGTCCGTGACAGGGATCTATTGTTGTTGAGGATGGGCCTTATGTTGCTGGGGGGGTCGATCCTTGCAGGGAGGAATTTACTGTTGAGGGAGGGGTCTATTGTTGCTAGCTGTTGAAGGTTCTATATTCTATTGATGCTGGCTGCTGGGAGTATATTGTTGCTGGAATGGATCTATTTTTCCTTGGGCTTTATTGTTGCAAGGGGGAGGGGGGGTGTATTGCTGCTAGCTCCAAAGGGTCTATTTTAGTGCTTTTCTTGTTATCATTAACAAATTCTGTACAAATTACCACTACAAAATGATACTTGTTCTGTATTCTCTAAAAGGGGCAGTACTGGGAGGTGGGTAGAGGGTGGAACCAAGGAACAGTGCTTGGAGGCGAGTAGGGGGCAGGAACATGGTGAAATTCGAAAAGGGAAGAGTTCCTGCACCTATTCGAGAAAAAAAGCCTGCATATAGAGAGGTATAGTATGGAACATTGATTCTGGTTTTCCTTGCAGTAATGTGTACAGATCTCCAGGCCTCCCAGAATGTTAGCACTTGAAAGATATTGAGACCTCCCACTTTTAGTTTTATTACTTAAAGTTGAAGTTGGGGGGATAAAAACCCTACTGACCTTCTAGAATGTATAAATACAGTGGGGGGACTTGAAACTTTATTTCCAATGCCACAGTCACATAAAAAAGGGGGGCCCTATTAAATCCCCCTCTTCTTTTCCTAATCCTCTAATGCACAGTCTTCACACTGTAACTTTACCTGTCTTCCCTACTTCTCTCTGGGTTGATCCTGAGGGCTGCCATCTGCTACTAGCCTGTAGTAGAGAGCTTCAGGGGGCATTAGGGCTCTTACCCCATTTTCACCACCACAAGCTCTAGTGAAGACCAGTTGGTACTTAAACTCTGGCCCTCTTGTGATCCTGCATCTCCCGTAGGGGGTGTTGCTATAACAACCGCTGTGTTACTAGGAAATATGCAGGGACCACAATATCAATAATTATTAGCAGCATCTACAACCCTTCAGCGGGAGGAAGTTCACTTAAAAGCACTAATTTGTGTCAGGGATAAAATCTGAAAATCCGGGTAGTGGAAATGACAGCAGTGGAGATGTAGTTGACATAGCCTAGAGAGTTATGCTACATTTTCCAAGAGAAGCCAGCTTCCACTGGTGAGCTATGGCTAATAGAATTTCATTCAAGAGGTAAAAGTACATAGTCCCTAAAGTTATAATTTAAACATGCAATTATCTGAATAACAAAGACCATTTTATATAGTAGATATACAGGGGTTGGTTTACTAAAACCGGAGAGTGCAAAATCTGGTGCAGCTGTGCATAGTAACAAATCAGCTTCCAGTTTTTTTTTTTTGTCAAAGCCTAATTGAACAAGCTGAAGTTAGAAGCTGATTGACTTCAATGCACAGCTGCACCAGATTTTGCACTCTCCAGTTTTAGTCAATCAATCCCTAAGGGCTTGTTCACACTTGACTTTATTTCTAACGCTTGCCAAATGCCCCTATAGCGTTTGACAGGCATTAGAAAGGTGTTTGGGAACCGTTTTTAATGCTCCCCAAATGCTCCCCAAACGCCCCATGTGCGGTTCTGAGGCGGTTGATAGGCGTTTGTCAAGTGTTAATACCTTACCACAAATGCCTATAATGAAGTTAAATGGTACTATTGCTTCGCAACCGCCTTGCAACCGTGTCGCAACCGCACCGCAAACACCTGCCAGGCGTTTGTAGAGCAGCACCATAGACTTGAATGGGAAGCTTCAACTCCTGACTCAAAACAAGGAGTCAGTTTTGCTGCAACATGATGCAACGCTAACGCTTCAGTGTGAACAGCACTGTGTGCTGCCATGTGCAGAATTTTCATAGGTGTTTGAGAAGCGTTAAAAATGTTTCCCAAACACCAGTCTGACGCCTGCTGACAAAGCTAGTGTGTACTGAGCCTTAGTGTCCTTTATATAACTACCAGCAGAAAAAGTAATAATGAAGATAAGTGTGTGTTTGCTTTAAGTACTTACCTCACAGCAATTTTTTTTGTACACTAGTTTCAAGGAAACCTAAACTTTCTTGATCAGGGTTCTGTTCTGCACCTTGGATTAGATTTGTGAAGTAATTTTCATTCCACAAAACAATTTCTCTTCTAAGAATCAGGGACAAATACTGTATATAATTTCTGCTTGCAAGCATGGTCAAGCAAACACAGCTGTAGTTATGTTGCTTCCAGCTCAAAATTCTCTGCAGAAGTACAATTTTTTCCAATATATTGATCCACATTTATTCATTTAATGAGAATTGCATTAATGGTGTTGATTCCTGTAAAAAAAAAAAAACATTTTAATATACTGCTGACATCACTTATCCCAATATACAGATCTTAGAGCACTATTAACTATACATCATAGATACAAATGAAACTTTGGTTACGGTAATTAACATTTAATAATCCAACAAGCTTCTGTAAAATTGAAATTGAGTTATTGAGTGCAGTCACTGAGTAAAATACATATTTCTCCAATCACTCAGTTACAAGTTGGTAGAGAATAGTGTATAAACAGTTTTAATAACCTGTTTCAATAACAATCAACTCAAAGGGGTTAAAGAATGTTACCAACATACATTATTGGGCTGCAAATCCTTTGTATATTGACTCTGTCAATATACAAAGGGCGGCTATTGACGGCTGTAACTGGCTGTTATAACTGGGGGAAAAGATGCATTTTCTTATTGTTGTTAATATTATTACTATTCTTCATCTTATTTTTTAAATGTTATTATCATTATTGTTTTTTTAAAGAGCTAAATTAAAAATAATAATATTTGAACAGATTACATGAGCAAAGTGGCCATCTGGTATTGGAGCATATTTTGCATCATATGCTTACCCTCAATCACTTTTAATAATTATGAAAAACAAGTACTGAAAAAAATACATCAGTAGTAAAATGTAAAGAGTAGGGGAAAATGCAGGCCAGTTCTTAAACTGTGAATTATCAGAATGATCAAAACTATATATTCAATGAAAATAAACTCAAATATTTAAGTGTCAGGAAGACAGCTTTTACTTCTATAGATTTGCCAAATACTTTGATAACCTACTGTATATTCCTTCTTAGTTAATCCCAGGCAAGCCAAATCTGCTTGCCCAGATGGATGTAATTGTATTTGCTTGTGATTCTTACTGGTCGCTCACATACTTTTTTTTGGCAATAAAACAGTAGAGCTCCTAGCTATAAAGTAGACAAGAAATCGTGAGAAAGTGGTGGTGCCTTATGTCTGAAACTTTCAACTATCATGTTGTACAACCTGCAAAATAATCTTTTGAACCAATTTCAGACCATTCTAAATAAAATTGTGTCTTCAGATGGGATATTTTGTGGTGCAAAAAGCAATGGTTACAAACTTTTAAATAGCTAGAGAGGAAAACAAACACATTGTGAGAATGCTGCAGTTTTGCATGGACCAGGATCCCCAAAACAGACATCAAAGATTTGTTTGGTCAAGCAAAAGGTGGATAGAAACAAGAGGGGGGCCTTTTTTTAATCAGTATTTCAAAAATTTAGCTGCAGCTGGAAAATTTGTATTATGTGATGATCTTGTGAAGTCTTGAGTTACTCTAGAATAGAG